CCCCAAAACCCCAAAACCCCAAAACCCCGGCTAACTGGAATTTTTAACAAATTATAAATTCAAATTTTAAAGTAAATTTAGTAAAAGACTTTTATATTGGGAAAACATGGAATAAACTTAAGCATAAGCTGCTATTATCAAGTAAAAAGCAAAAAATAAGACTGAGATATTTCACTTGATACTCTAGCATGGACTTAGAGATCTAGAAATCTCTACATTCTTAGAGTAAATGCTTAATGAAAACATGATAACTTTTTAATATTCACCCAAGATATTCAATAATTCAATAATGTGGCTCTAAGCGAAGCCAAATTAACAATACACCTAAGTCAATCCTCAGCAAAATCAAAATGGTTTCTCTTATAACCATAATATATTCTAGTAATAAGTGTAATCATAGTATACCTATGAGAATGAATTCGTGCTGATTTATCATAATGCTGATACCTTTTAAAGAGATTTTATTTCAGGGGATTTATAGCTTGAAATGACTCGGTTGAAAAAGTATAAATAGTCAAGACTTGACTAGAACAAGAATAGTAGCTTCAAAGTGATAGTACTATTTTAAAGTGTGAGCGATGCTTTATTCAATAATCAATTGACATCAAATTAGTCAAAAGCTCGTCAAACTAAATAGGAAAAGCTATTTGAGATTAGTAGTAGAACTGGGAATGATGATCCTAAGGTAGTGAATAGAACTGACTATGATAAATTTCTGATAGAATTGACCATTACTTATGAATTTGACTTTATTCATCTTGATTCTCATTTGGAAGTGATTGAGTTTTTAAAGGAAATGCATAATACAATAGTAGAAAAACCTCACCGTAAAGAACTCTCTATGTACTCGAGGAAAGGATTCAGACCTGGCAAAAAAGCGCATCTCTCAGGATTTAAAGATCCCCTCAGTATCACATACATATCCTTCTTGATGTGTATTCCTGGGGTTAGTGAAAATAAGGCAATAGCTTTGGCTAAGATTTATCCGACATTTAGTTCATTGATGGAAATGCTATAAAATGATAAAATTGATTAGAAAGAGAAGATCAATAGAATGAAAAATGTAGAGGTAGTAGCCTCAATGGGCGATAAAAGTAAGAAGATGGGTAAAGTAGCTGAAAAAATATATATGACTTTAAGATGTGCAATTCCAACTCAAATAATTAATTGATTAAACTTTGATTTTGATTTTTACTTCAATTGAGTCAGTTTAATGTAATGGGGTTTTGGGGTTTTGGGGTTTTGGGG